TTCAGAACGCTGGATAGACTGCTGACTTCACTTGTTCATCCCATCCCATCAACTGGCTGTAATTATTTGATAGCATTACGCCCTTTGGATTCAAGTCAGTAAAATTCCTCACTGTCATGATTTCACCACTGCAGGAAAGTAGCATGTTTGAGCTGCCAGCTTCATGTTTCACTAAATCCCCTTCATCCAGTGTGATTTAAAATATTCCGTTATTATTTTGTAGCACAGTTGCAAATGTGCAATGTCGTGGCCCACATAGAAACATGCTTTGAAATTGATGCACACGGAATGGGCAAAGCCAAGGTTCTTTGTGTTTGCATTGCAATTAAGCTGAGCCATGCGGGGAACAAATGAATGCCATTTGTTGAGACTAATTAATAAAGAACATGCACATGTGCAGTTGGGGAAGATTTGTTTCGGGTAGCTTGCTCAGCTACGTATTCTCATGGCTTAATCAAGCTGACAACGGCAAAGTCTTCAGAAACAGAATCTGAGAGCAAACGAGTGCTCCTGCATTTCATCAGAAACTTTGTGCTCATATGTTGACATATGCAAAAAAAAAACCAAACATCTGCTGTCATAAAACTGAGCAAATTCTAAATGAAATGACGTGAATTTGTTATGATCAATATGTTAGACCTTAGGTTGTTCATCAGTCTGCTCTCCCCTGGTGTAGTCCACACAGCCAGACAGACAATATGGCCATATTGCCGAGGCTATAATCCACAAACAGCTTCTCCATCCTTTAGAGGCATCCAATGCTTCTGGAGTTTGAGGCTGGTCCTGTTGGAGAACAGCTGTCTACAGTGACCCATAGAGATTGCAAATTGAGCTTTAAGAAAGGAAAACAAACTACTGATGCTGGCACTATGGGCATGCAAACAGAGAAGTTGGAAGATTGTTCCAAAAACACCATCTGCTCTCCACTTTGAACTAACCGATCAAAAGCTGTCGGCCAAACTATTATCCCCTCCTCCCTCCCTACCCCATTCATCTTGTTGTTTTCACTGAAGCGTCGATCAGTCCTACTGCCCTCCTTTCTTTCTCCCGTTTCTAGTCCCCCCCCTCTTGTGAAGAATGGGATGAATTACATTGCTGTGCCATCTCGTTGCCTCGGATGTACTCACCAATCATCTCATGCATTTAAACATCAAACACTACTCTTCATTAAGTAAATGTCTGTCATACCTCGAAGGGCAAAGGTCAGAGATGGTAATACCCCCTAATTTTACACCAAGGGCTCTTACCGACACATTTTTGTCAGCTGTTGCTCCCATAGCTGTCTTTTGTCTTTTGGGAGCTTAAACTATCAACAAATTAACTTCATCATGACATTACCTCTTTCTAAAACTGACTGGGGCATTTTCTAAGGGTGCGCAAGTTCAGTCATTTCAAAAGAACAATGACGTTTTTGTGATCAGATTGACAGTAATGAGCGTTTGTCTATTTAGAAGTCTCTTGGCAGCAAGACGATGGGTTGCATGTTTAAAACGCATTATATAGGAAGAGTTTTAGTCAATGTGGCCTCTGAATTATCTCTGTTTGTGCACACAGAAATAACCCTCAATTTCCCCTCCTATCTTTGGGTACCTGTCTGACTGTGCACTTGCAGATTCCTACAGATTATTTTATTACCACCTCCACTACTATCCAACATGTTATTTTCCCCTTTAGGTTCCTTTTGCCTACATTTTTTCTCACTTATTTAATTGCTTCGCCAAGCTAAAACCACATACTGAGTGGATGTAACACCATTGCTCAAGGCACAGATGCATTTCCTTTTTCATTATGATGCACACCCATGTCTCCTTTCATTTCCACATAAACATGTTTCCACACATGCAAATGTCCGCTCACGCACAATTGGCTTCTCCCTACCCGGGGAGACTTGCTGGTAGACCTGACCCCCAGTGTTTGCTTGTGTGCTCTTATTTATTTATTTTTTTTACTGGCCCATGGAGACCTAGTACAGGTGGGGCTTAAGGTAGCAGAGTGGTTGGTGGAGGTGGTGGTGGTGGTGTGTGTGTGTGTGTGTGTGGGGTGGGGTGGGGGGGGTGCTGAAGGGAACTACAAGGGCCGATGGGAATATAGCATGCTAGAGTGGAAGAATGTGGCACCTGGACCACCTCCTCTCTGGTGTTTTGTGGCAGCTGAGCCAGCCTAGAGCATCTGCACAGCTACGGGGTAATAAGCTGTTGTTCCTTGTCCCCATACATGCATACAATACACATGCAGATTTACTCTCCATAACTCTGCACAGAGGGGTTGAATTAGGTGCGCTTTGTGTGATGCATGCATCACTATGCCCTTCATCCATATTCAAAGAACAGATCCTGCTTAGGAAGCTCGTATCACTAAACACACAACAGAGATGTTTATGAAACAGATGGCTACAGTCAAACTCTGAGTTAGTTTCCAATGATGCCTTCAGAAAGTTTTCAAAAGGGCAGCCAGTCTGGGGCCACAGATAACGTAGGGGTGGTACAACAAAACCAAAAGCCATAACATACTGTAATTTTCAGTTTAATCATGCTGATGTTTCATATATACTATATATATATATATATATATATATATATATATATATATATATATA